ATCGAAATTTTTCAAAAACAAAAAATCCTTTGATCATGCCCGAGTTTATTATATATTCTAAAAGCTGTATAAATTTCTTTAAAATCTACTGAGCGGTTTTCGAATTACAGTTGTCACCAGTTCGAAGAAGATAGTTTTGAGAAAAACGCATTTAAAGTTTCACACTAGCGCTTTGAAGTGCCCGAGCTCTCTTTGCTTCCAAAGATGTCCCTAGTAGCTACCACGTTGTCCGGATCTATTTGGTCGCCAATGTACGCACTTGTGGCCTTCACATATGCAGCCACCCCTGCTGTATGCTCTGCATCGCGCAGATTTTGCAGCCATCACTGATTAATACTTCTGAGTCGCACTCAGAGTACTCCAAATGAAATTCTCTGTCACCACTGCTTTGCGCTCTTCGTGCCACGAGCAGATTTTATAAAACGAGTTTTCGGCGTCTGCGTTACTTTATAGCAGTACTTAAATAACGGGTCTAACTGTCCAATGCGCGGCTGTACAGTTTTTCAGAAGTTTCGGAACTTCTAAGGACTGTACTTTGCCCCACGTGCCCGCACAATTGTTTGCTTTTACGTACTTTTTGCCACAAGTTTTAACACAATTATCATTTTGGTTTTCCCTTAAAAGGAAAAACCCGCACTTTCCACTTCTGATACCAATTTGTGGGGTCCGTCACCCTCTTCAATCCACACTATCCAAATACATATGTATGTCTCTTTAGATTTGAAAATATTTATTAGTTTACTTTTATTTAAAAGACACAATCCGCTGTTATAAAAAAGGTACTTGAGGTGACAACTATAAGTCCTTGAAGATTCATCTAAAATCAACCGGACAAAATTAGTTTTATAAATAGATAAACTCAGGCCTGATCGAAGGATTTATTTTTCTTTCAAAAATGACCGAAATGGCGGCAAGAATTTTTTTTTCTAAATTTTTGGCCTTAAAAATCGAAATTTTTCAAAAACAAAAAATCCTTTGATCATGCCCGAGTTTATTATATATTCTAAAAGCTGTATAAATTTCATTAAAATCTACTGAGCGGTTTTCGAGTTACAGTTGTCACCAGTTCAAAGAAGATAGTTTTGAGAAAAACGCGTTTAAAGTTTCACACTAGCGCTTTGAAGTGCCCGAGCTCTCTTTGCTATTTGTCGAATAAGTCAAAAACTAATTATCCGATCCAATGCGTGGCTGTACAGTTTTTCAGAAGTTTCGGAACTTCTAAGGACTGTACTTTGCGCCACGTGCCCGCACAATTGTTTGTCTTTTACGCACTTTTTGCCACAAGTTTTAACACAATTATAATTTTGGTTTTCCCTTAAAAGGAAAAACCCGCACTTTCCACTTCTGATACACTATCCAAACACATATGTATGTCTCTTTAGATTTGAAAATATTTATTAGTTTACTTTTATTTAAAAGACATAATCCGATTTTTGTTAAAACAGCAACATCTTCTGAATTACAAAACGTTATTCTTTCACTTTCAGTTACAACGTGCAATACAATAATATTATTCTTTTCACTTCTTCTTAATTACAAAACGTTATTCTTTCACCCACATTTATATATAATAAGACAAGTTCAACGGTGCCTGTCTGTCTGTTCCTCTGTGCAAGCTGTAATTTGAGTAAAAATTTAGATATCTTAATGAAAGTACACATGTTTCTCGGTATCGAAACTAACCACCTGGTATTGCTGATGGACTTAACCGGACCAATGCGCCCTCACAAAACGCCATTAAGCGAATACTGAGTACTAGGGTTGCTTCGAAAGTTGCAAATGGAAGATGAAAATTTAAATTTTCCATTCTAAAGTACTCTCTTCAAGCTCGCAGTAACAGGCGGCACCTTCGTGCTAAAAATTTAAAAAAAAGTGTGCTTGTCCGGTCTCTAATTAATATAATATAAATATCTCCTAAACAACTTAAGCCACAAAAACCTAATTCGATCATTACAAATTCTTTTAGCAACACTACCAATACACCAAAGTGGATGAAAGCGGAAAATAACCCTGTTCATTCCCCATATAAAGGTATTTCACACCCGGATAGTATGAGAACCCTTAACAGGAGCCAGGTAGAAACTCGACGATGGGGGTAACGCTTTCTTCATACCGGTTTACCTGTTATTTGTTCGTAATAGTTGTTAATTTACCCCATTTAAGCAATTAATATTTTTTTTCGTGGCTGTTATAATTGAAAAAAACTTATTACTTTGGAACTAGTTCGGACAAAAATACGAACAAGCAACTTGAATATGATTTAAACGTATAGTTATTACTAAATTACAAAACTATTCTGAGAGTATTGGCTAATTTGAAACATCGCTGTGCTTGAGGCGATTAAGTCGTCTTGGTGGTTATCTCTATATGTATGTTAACTTGGTTACTTCTTTGTTACAATGTTGTAGCAATCTTGCATTATGGCTGCAGAAAGTTTGGATATTTCTGCGTTAGCCGAGTCTACGCTTAGATCACTCTCTTTATCAGCACATCTACAATACCAAGGCGCTTTGACAGTTAAATGACTGTCTTATTATTTGCGTTAGTAACTAGGTCCCAAGGGTTGCGCACCTTCCTTAATTGAGAAGGTACCGTTGCCCAGCTGGTTAATCATCTCGTGAAAATAAAGGATGACATCACTGCTATCCAAGAAGTGCGGGACAAGGACTAAAACTAATGGGTAATGCTCGAAAATTCTGCGAAAAGATGTGGCGACTAGTAGAAGGTGGGTAGACGTTCATCCATGTTGTTGTTGTTGTTGTAACGGCAAAATTCTGCCGAGTTGACAGTCCTTGGCCGGATAAAAATCCGGGTCCGTTACGGTTTTCGTAGACCCGACTGTCGTGGGAACGGGACGTTCATCCATCTGGGAGAATGCCAATACTCGGCGACGGGGTGTCTTACGCACAATGAATCCCACACCGAACTTGCGCTCCAATATATGACTACAGTTGTAAGTTCTATAAAATAGCACATTTGAAATACTGCCTTTATGCTATACTGTCAAACCTTAAATTGATCATAATCCGAGCAGAACTGTTCAAGCCTCCAGATACCGAATATGTGGACCTATGTGCTTACAGCTCACTTTTTAACAAAAATATAGGTTAGTTCGTGAATGTTACTGACAGTGTGAGAGAGTCTTTTGCCGATAATTATGTCGTGTCGAAAATCGACAAAATCGGGTTAATACTCGGGTCAATACTAAATAGCTATAAAGTACTTAACACTACCGATTAACTTTTACTTGCATATTTAACAGAAATTTTTCAAATTTCCGGTTGACGGATACATGAATATGATATATACATATATGTATATGATCTGTCTCTTATACACATCTAGATGTGTATTATGATATATATATATATATATATAAAGATATATAAATATATAACTTCAAATTTAACGGGGAATATTTGGTATCATTTGTAAGGATATTCTTTACCATCGATTATTTGGAGATTATATTTTTCAAATGTTTGTACGCTTCCAAATTAAGTTGTCGACGTAATCGTTCCATGCATCAGTCCGAGTTGCGCCGACTCGACTCTAGACGGCTTTCGTGTACACTCTCAGCTATGGCTGCTATATTTTCGTCAGTACGTATTAGACGTGATCTATTCGGTAAAATATTATCCAATAATTAATGCTGGGTCTTAATCGCAAAATCGAGCTAAATCGTTTTTCAAGAACTCAGTTGTTTTCTTATGTCGTTTTCAACTATACCAATGAACACAATTATCTCATATATTAACGTTGTTGTTAAAATTATGATTAGCTTGTGAGCAGGTAAAAGTTGGTAAAAATACTCATTTACTTTTTCAGTGTATGGGCTTAAGTTCCACTTGAATTTTGAATATTAAAACACCTACTAGGGCACCACTTAAAACATAAGGTTTGGTTTTTGATTTATTCCTCAGCAACTTTAATCAAGACAGATAGATTCTTCGGATATTGATGTTATTTGCGATCCTTGATCTATGAGAGCACGTATGTAGCAGATAAATTCTCCGCATAGTGTTTTTGCTATAGCTAAAATAACTGATTTTGATGAAATTTTTGTGGACGTATCTTTTTTACTCTCTTCGGGTTTTAAATGGAAGATATCACGATGATTTTGGAAACATTTTTTACCTTTGATGTTCATTTTTTATTTTTCCCCACTTACATGACTTAGAAAATTGTAGCAGACAATAAAAAATATAATATCAATCGATTTAAAGAATTTTTCGATTTTACGAATTAGATGTACAACAAAAAATTTGTTATATTGGCCGATCATCGTAAATGATAAAAAATTTTGATGGCACTATCCTTTCTAAGAAATCGTTTATTCCTAACTTACCTAAGTACGAGCACGATACGAAAGGTACAAATGGTTTTATATGTGAAGACTTTTTGCCAAAAGTAATAAAACGATTTACTTCTGATATTCAAAGCGTAGTTCTGTAGATTAACTCTCAGAAAAGGTCCCGATCATAAGGCCGCCAGTAACTGTCAGGACTGTGTTATGTTGGTCTTATTTCTTTTTCGTTTTTCTCGGAACCCGTTTACGAATGTACTTCATTGCCAATTGCAATATTAGAGCTATATAACGTGATTGTGTAAACAGTCTCTAGTCACTATTAGAGACATTTTGAGGTAAAGTCTCACTTTGTGACTAGTTATTCTTCACTAAACAGTCTCTAGCGTTAGTCTCAAAATATTGCCTCAAATTTGAGACCTGATAGTTAGCAGGTCACAAAACTAAAAACAATCCTCTTTGCCATTTTGAATATACTGAATAGAGATAATCATAGATATTAATCGATTATCGTTTTTTTTCATATTTTTTAAGCAACTCAAACACGAAAACCTTATAAATAAATTATTTTAACATAAATTTCGAAAATTTATTAAAGAAAGTCAACATATATTTTTATTTTTATTGTTAATTATGATTATTGCTGTTATAGAAAATTTTATATTTGTTATCGACGTATTTATTTTCATTCCAGTGTAAAAACATCATCATCACTGAATAAAGAAATGCAATAGATTTTGTGACTGTCACTTACAGAATAGCAAAATCATCTGTAACAAAAATTGTCTCTAACTTAAAATCTCAACTCCACTGCAAATATTTTGTTTCTTCTTCAAGCCAAAAGCAATTGGAATGGCATTGACATGGACATTGACTATTATAATCAAATCTATAAAAATGAGAATTTCGAGAATTAAAGCAGACAGTTGGCTGGCTAGCATGTTCCCTATAAACAAGTACCTCAAAAATTGGCAGCAAAACTGTTCATGTTGTTGTTGGATGAAAATCCATATCACTCCCCATATAACAGTACTGGTCAAATCTACTAAAAGCGCGATAAATCAATAACTAAATGCATCAGAGACGTAAAAATTTGCGCGCCGGGGTGGTATGACAAGGCTTTATAGGGACCGTGGTAAAAATTGGGCGATCGGCGTGCCACCGATTGGTCGATATTACCTGTCAGCATATGAGTTATCTATATATATATATATTATATATGTAAGCCTAGCTTACTTGTTTACATTGTCATTAATAAATAATAAGTTTATTAATTCTCATTTAAATTTGTAATTAAACTGTACTGAACTAATTTATACTATATGTTGTATAAACCCTATTCTTCTAAATCAGAGGTTCAAACTTACTCAAAAAGAATTGTTATTAAAATTTTTGTCATTATTTTAAAAGCCAGATTTAGAGGGTTTAGTCTTTCTTATTACAAATATTAGAATTGAGTAATTTAGACAGGAGTTACCGATAGCACACCAGATAGCATATTCGTTAATTCATCACCATGATTTTATTTATTGATAATAATGTTTTTAGAATTATCGATATTCCCAAGTCTGCTGAAATACACATTTATTACCTGTAAATAAGAAAATAATAAAACACAGTTTTGAGTTTGCTTTTATAAAAATATACCGATGATATGGTATAAATTCCAAATTATTAAAAATAAACACTTCCTTTTCCTTTCATTGTCCGTAGATTAGTAGAGTTTCTTTTTTTTAACTCTCAAATGTAGTCTCCCTTAATATTTTCCTTATACTGGCCATAGTAATGTCTCTCAAATGCCATTATATCATGATGGAAGCGTTCTAGTCGTTCTTCCGAATATATRTATCTAGACAGATCCTAGATCCTATTATGGTGAAATCCGTTATGATGTCAGTTATCAGCTCGTCATAATTGGCAACTTTATCCAAGGAAACCATAGAACTTTTCTAGGCCTTTTTATCCTCATTGCTAAGTAACTTTGGGAAAATATCACCATCCAAAATTTCGTGAGTGCCTACAAAGATTCCATTCTTCAAATATCTTTCACCGTCAACAACGCGTGAAGACCAACATTATAAATTGTCTAATGCTTAAAACAAATATTTTTCATCCTTTTGTAATCCTGTGCAACGTCAAGTAGATACCGAAAATATTCCTATATCACCGATTTTACCTTTACCTTTTACCTTTACGTTTACCTTTAATAATATGAAAATAAAATTTTGTTCATTCCTGCCATTCCGCAGATATCGAATTTTTTGTCCTCCAACCCGCTTTCTCAACGCCGGGAGCTTGTCCGCGAACAGATTATGATTTTTCGGCTGTGGGATCCAGAACTAAATTGTTATAGAAGATATCTCTAAATTATTATTGAAATTCTTTTTCCAAATCAATGTTGCAATGATTTAGGAATAAAGAGTCATAATTTCATACAACATAATTTATATTTAAATAATGCTAGGAGGGAAAACAATTTTAAACCAAAATTCTGAAAATATTCGTCAAAGTTTATCGTAAGTTTGTTGAAATTTTTTTATAATAATCCGTAATGTCAACAAATAAAAACGCATTAACAGAAAATGCAGAGAAAAAATATGCATACTTTAATTTCATTGCTAACCAAGAAAAATCATTAGACGAGCTTTCTCAATCCAAAAAGAGTTTCTTGTGGTTATTCAGATTTTCTAAACGACGTTGCCGATGGATCATTTAAATTCGAACAAATTAGTGACATTTTGCACGAGCTTAGGAGGATAGTGTTATATGAGTAGCCAGATTCTTTTACACATGGCTCAAACAGCTCATGACTTCCGGTCGTAGACAAAGTATCCTCTGAGTAACAGTGAAAACAGCCTTTTAAATTAAAAAAAAAAAAATTAGCAAGTGAACCATCCCTTCCCAGGGTTGTGCGTTGGGATTGGGACTCGCCACGTAATAAACATCCCCAATGAAACCTAAACGACAGCCTCGGAAAAGTTTCTATAGTTTACAACTGAATAATACAAAAGTATCAAATTAATCGAATGTGGTTGGAATTATCCCAGTAGGTCCTGAGAAATAGTATATCAAGGTGGAGGTAGACAAACCAACCGACAAGGGTAATGCTCGAAAATTCTACGAAAATATGCGGCGACTAACAGAGGGTTTCACGACCGGAGCATACTCTTGTAGAAAACCCGAGGTTGATGCCCAGATCATACTACAATTATAAAGGGAAAACTTCTCCAGCCTGCTGAATGGCAGTGAAAGCATAACACCAGGAGGTATCGAAACCCGATTCCCCAATCGATGACGATGGATCAGATGCTTCATTGCCCGACCAGGAAGAAGTTCGAATAGCAATTACCAGTATGAAGAACAACAAAGCGGCAGGACCCGATGAATTGCCGACCGAGCTATTCAAATACGGTGGCAAAGAACTGATAAGGAGCATGCATCAGCTTCTTTGTAGAATATGGTCGGACGAAATCATGCCCAATGATTGGAATATAAGTATGCTCTGCTCAATCCACAAAACTGGAGACACCGCGCAGTTAGTTCAGCTTTCTCCAGAATAGATAATAAAGCAAAGTATTCACTGCTATCAAGCAAACAGTCGTCGTTCTCGCGACTAGGCCTCCACGTCACTGTTGACAATCATAACCTAGAAGTAGATAATTTCCTCTATCTTGGAACCAGCATTAAGAACAACAACAACGTCAACCTCGAAATCCGATGCAGAATAACTCTAGTCAACAGTTGCTTCTTTGGACTGAATAAGCAAATGAGAGTAAGTCCTCTCCCCACGGAAAAACTATAAGCCACTCATTATTCCCGTTCTGCTATATGGTGCGTAGACATGGACGATGACAATATCTGATGAGTTGGCATTACGAGTTTTCGACCGAAAGGTTCTGGGAAAGATTTATGGTCCTTTGCGCGTTAGACACGGGGAACGTCGCATTTGCGTGGAACGATGAGCTATATGAGATATACAACGACATTGACGTAGTTCAGCGAATTAAAAGACAGCGGACGACGAAAACACTCCAGCTTTGAAAGTATTCTACGCAGTACGCGACCGGCTAAGCAGAGTAAGAGGAAGACCTCTACTCCGTTGGAAAGATCAGGTGAAGGAAGAAGAGAAGAAATCAGGAAAAAAAGAAATGACTGGCGCGCTGTTGTTAACTCGGCTGTAACCGCCGTGTCTACGCCTGTAAAAAAAAGGAGAAGAATAAATATAGTTAAAAAAAAAAAACTAAAAAACACGCTTTTAAAGCATTTCAAACTAAAAAGTGGAAAATAATTCTTTGTATAAACTAACAATAATAATGACGGAAAAATTCCTGCATTATTGTAAAAATAGTGTGGAATACTCGATATATGAAAAATATGTCACAAAGTACCCCACGCTTTTCTCACAATACTAAAGGAATTTTTCCTTCATTATTATTGTTAGTTTATACAAAGAATTATTTTTCAGTTCTTAGTTTGATATAGTTTAAAAGCGTCTTTTTTAGTTTTTTTAAACTATATTTATTTTTAATTTTTTTGTTTGATATGAGAAACCGCAAATTTGTTAAAATATGAACTATGACATATAGTATTGGTTAAGTAAGTCGATAATTAGGCAGCATTTAATATCTACTCGTAACCTTTCATTGACTAATTGTTAGATTATTTGCGACTAAGTTCTATTGACGAATTATTACTTCTTATTCGAATCATTTCTTCTAAAGCTTCACTTTTACATGGGGTTTCACCTGTGAACTATGAACAGTATGTTCTTCAATTCGAATACCGTCCAAATATCTATAACGATTAAGTGAAACATAAGCTTGTCCAGCAGCAAATAGTCGAGAGCCAAGATAAACTGCATGATCTACTGTACTACCTTGCATCTTATGAACGGTCTACGCCTAATTCAGTATTATTGGCAACATTCGTCTCTCAGCGATTCCATAGCTGTATGTTTCTGGAAATTGTATCGATATTGGATTAAACGTGTTCACCATCTGAGCCGAAATAAATACGTACTGACGGGCTGCCTTTGCATACACTTGGTCCCTGCGAAAATTTGGCCAGATAATTTCTGTAACAAACCCCATATTACCATTCACTAAACCTTTTGACACGTCAATATTCGACCTTAACATCACCTTTGGTCCAACGAATATTTTTAATACATTAGGAAGACCTCCTGTTTTATTGATATCATTCGGTATTACAGTATTTAAGTTTTTATTACCTAAATTTCGTGTAGCGCCAATGAGTTGGTCTTGTGCTTTAATCATATAAATAACAGTCCCTTTATCTTGAAAGCTCTTCAGAACTTTTTCATTATGTATAACAACKTGGTCGTTAGTAGGGTAAATCCTTAAAGCTTTCTCAATCCAGAATTCTTCAGTGGATTTGTTGACATTTTTCCAAGAAGAACTTCAAGATGCTTCGACGTCAACTTTCCAATTCTTAAAGCATTAAGCATATTTATAAACGTCGTATCTTCTTGTTGACGCATGTTTTGCTGATTCAACCAGGCGGAATTGTTGCCACAGATGTGTAAAGGGTTTCATATGTTCTGGCTGTTGAAATACTTGTTGTCCTCGGACAGGTGGTAACTGCATTAAATCACCAAAGAGTAAGACATTTATACCTCCAAAACAAGAGTCCTGTCTCTTTAGTTGGCGTAAACGAGATTCGATCATGGAAAGCATTTCATAAAGCACCATAGAAATTTCATCTATGAACAGAAACTCAACGTATTGGCATAACCGACGCATCCCTTTTAAATAATTTCCCGTAAGAAGTGGCATTTAATTATGAGCCATCTTTTTTATACTGGTAGTTGTGTAGAACCTCCGACCAACCAACTTTCACGACCAATTTTCCATAGCATCGGTTAACTTGGTTTTTCAATACATTAAAGATAAAAGTTTTTCCAGCGCCTGCTCCACCTGTGACGAAAATTTTCTCTCTTTTAATATCAGCATTAAGTTGATTTTTATACTCTCTGTAATGACAGTAAACAATTGTTTTTGATCAATATTCATAGCATGCTGTGCTCTTTGAAATTGATCATTGCTCATTTCTGTGTCCGGTAATTCTTCTTCTATAACTTCAGGATTTGTAATCTCTGACTGTTCTAAAATTTCAAATGCATGTATCTRATTGAATGCATTTTCAAGCTGTTGGTCACGTTCTCGAAATTGGCGCATATACTTACTCATTTCCTTCAAACGATTCTCTCGATGTAAAAACGCCTCTTTTGCATTATCGAAACCTTCAMGTAATTCAGTTTCCAAACGATAAGGCATATGTTTAAGAACTAAGCTGTAGAAAAAGTTGTCGGGATCWGATGTTGCTATAAAATATGGTACCCTAAAAACTGCGGGAACCTTTCTCACAACCATTTTGCTCTTATCTAATAGCGTAATAAGTGGCCGACGTGTGTTTCGATATTTTTCATACGCCTCGTGATCAACACTTTCCTCAGTTTCGCTTACTTTTTTCGGATAGAATGGTTCAAACAACATTGCAAACTTTGTAAGGCTCATGGTTGCAAAATCGTAATCGGGAGATTGTACCGGATATTTCTGATACCTTTCAAAGGTATTACTATAATAACCAGTTGTGTGCACGAATTCTGACGAATAGCAATACTCAGTAACGTTGTTCTGCCTTTTGTTGTGTTCAGAAAAATGCAACTTCGGGAACTGTCCCGTAATGGAATATAACAAAGTCTATATGCGCATTCTGCAGCTGATACTTGTCGCTCATGAAGAATCTTCATACATATGCTGAACAGTTTGCGTGAAATATTAGTTTCTTCACGTTGAATTTGCTGTATTGCCTGCGCAATTCCAGAGTCTATACCTGCAGGTTCTGCTTTCGATAGGTACTTTGCTATATATTGCGCTATCGTTTCGTTTGATCCGCATTATATCCTTATTGCTTGCCCACAGTCTTAGCAACTCTAGGTGGTAATTATTTACCCTAGCATCTTCCTTTCTACGCTTAAGCAAACAAATTCTACTAACAGAGGTAATCATCTGAAGAATGAGACACGAATTGTGTCACATTCTTGGCGTGGAAAGTTGAATCGGCATTTTATAGAATTATTATTTTTTGAACAAGTTTTTGTATGCCGATGAATTTGACATTTTTAAACTAATTCATGAAGCTGTGGGTCTTCTTCTTCTGGAGTGATTCTACAGCAACAATTACGAGCTTCCCTTCCTCTGAGTCAAACTCGGGATAATTTTCGAACCAAATCACCATATGACGATGAGGACTGCCCCGATTCTGGAATTCAATACGCCATTTTTCTGCCAAACACGTAATAATTATTTTTTATAAATTTCATTAGAGCATTTACTCTTAACATGAAATACTTCTCGATACGTCTTTGGGGCTATTAAC